AATGTTGTACTCTGTGTTTCACTGGTATTTCAAGGATCTGTTGCCGTTTCCATGGTTCTTGGATGGTCTCTCTAGGAATTAAGTTATGTGAGGAAACCAGACGGAGACCCAATGTGGATGCTTAAGAATATTGAAGTCTTTTTTTAGGAATGGTCCAGTTTCCAGACCTTGACATTACTGGTTATCCCAAACACTTATTCGAGGACCTTTCTGTAGTTTGTGATCTAGCATATAATGCCAAATTGAGTGCTTGACTCATAAAACAATCTTGTCGATGAAAAAAGGTGGCCATTGGTCTTCCACAGAATGCATAGATGAGGAAGATTTTCTTCAAGTAACTGAAGCTCTTAGGGTTAAACTTAATCTGTGATAAAATCTGGTTGGTTTTGAACGTGTTTGGAGAGATTTCAGTCAGCTTTTGGCTTCAGTAAACCCTGTTCACCAAAGCCGTAATGCGTGGTAGATTCAGACTTGTATTAAAAACTCTATTTAACAGTCAGATGCACACAAAGTGTGATGGACCACAGCAAAGGTAAAAATCTCTGGAAGCATTATACATTTGTATCTCTCCATAAAGTAAAGCATTAAACTGAAAAATAAATGTTGAAAATAATTTTTTTTACCTTTATAATTTTAAGTCTTAGAGACCTAACTATTCAATAGGATTATAGTTTCTTTCAGATTCATACTTAGCATTAAAGGTAAGAAATCTATTAGCCAATGGGCAACTTGATGGTTTTTACAAATTTGGAAAAACAAAAGAATTCCTACCTTCAGACTTGTTTTGTTTGTTTGGTGTCAGCTCCAGAGTTTTTCCACTTTGGTGTGATTATTTATTCACAGCTTGTGCTTGATGATCTTGATCTCTATTGGAATCAATAATGAATAAGATTACGTTGTTGACCTCTTCACTTCAAAAGCCAGTCGCAGTTGTGATTTATGAAATCTCTCCACATTAAGTAATTTTTGCAAGAACATGCAAATAAGTTACTTCATGTTGAATTTTGATGCATTTTACCACTGGGTTCTGTGACAACAGGTGGTCATTGTAAATGCATCAGGTTTGTATTGATGTGTTTGTTGTCGGGATGCAGCAGGATGATGGATCTGATCAGCTGTAATTGCCCCTCCTCACCCAGCTGAGTTAGTCGCACCTCGCTGTAATTCATCAGTCTTGGTCTACGCAGACCTCTGCATCCCAGCCCTGCTGTGTGCCGTGATTATGTCGCCCCCTCTGCAGATTCATCACCAGACACTAAAACTGATGCATTGCCTCTATTACAGTACTGAGGGCATGATGCTCCCAGCCAGAATGAATGAATCTGCTGTAATTCATTTCCTTCAGCAACTCCTCCTTAAAAACAAACATCTGAATAGTCACCGAATTCAAACATGCTTTGTTTTACCTTCCAGTTAAAACGAGAGTTTGAAGTCTTTCATGGATAGTCACTGTGGGGATGAACGCTGTTTGGCTTTTGACGACTATTCCGTTCTTTTAAAAGTAAGAATAGAGCATTTCAAAGTTATTTATAGGCATATATACATGATAAAATAATGCTTCTAGCACAATGGGTTTTTTAAAGATATTTGTTTTTTCTAACCTGGAAGAAAAACACTAGCCTTCAAAGTAAAGCTGTCTTTTCCTGTTTGTGTGCTGCCATTTTCATGAAGTTCTCAATGTGTCGTGCCACTTCCCAAGGCTGAACAAAGTCAGAGAGCTTGAAAGACCCAAACACTGATGCAGATTGGCCCCTAAAAGAGCCACTCTAATTTTTAGCCCGAATCATTGCTCTCTGACTCTCATCATGTCTGCCTGATGGGGGAAAAAGTGGGCAATTTGCAGTGCATGTGCACTGAGGTAGGTTCTTCCTGGAAGGGCAGCCTTAGATGTGCCCAATCCAGTCGATTTCACAGCATGGGGAAGGGCTAAAGCTTAGAGTGCGGAGTTACTTGCGCACAAATCAAGCGAAATATCCTTTTGGTCCTGGTTTTGATACAGGAATAACACAACATATATAAAAACTAAAGCAAACTTGAACTATCTTTATTTTAGTTAAGCAAATTGCACAATGTTTTAATGCCTTACTAACCTGGCAATCCCAGTTGACAGTGTGTTGCATGCTCATTTTAGCTATATGCATTATCAGTCAGGGCCTGCTCCCATGGAATCCATTCATGGAACAAAAATGAACATTCAGCAAAACTTTCTTAGCTTAGAATGCCTGCCTACCAAAGTTTGGTTTTAGCCAGTGAAAACGTAAAAAGCAACTGGTGCCATAAGAAACCACTACAAGGTATGCTTGAAATTCCCTTGCTCTTATTTGCTAGACGAAATTGTTGTTTCAGATGGTCTGAGAGCTTGACACCTTTTGCTTTTGTCCTAGCTCCAGCGAATGGTAGGAAAGGCTTCTTGTGTGCATGGTTGTTCGTTTTGGCGTGTATCTGTGTGGCCCTGCAATGGACTGAGGGGATGTCCAGGGTGTACCCTGCCTCTCCCCCATTGACTGCTGGGATAGGCTCCAGTCATTTCAATCATTAGACCCTAACTGTTCCTCTGGCCAAAAGTTCTTTGGTCAGCTTCCTAACCAATGCACTTTTGGCTCTGACTTCCATAAAGGCATACTGCTGGGACACCAGTACTACTGCAAAGCAAGTTTTACATCAGCATGGCCTTACAGGATGATGACAAATTAAAAACCCTCAGGACCAAAACTGAAACTTCTAGGCTGCACTAAAAGCATCCTACTTCTCACAAAGACAAGATCAGTACCTTCTAGAGATGGACAAGATGGTTAGCTTTGGCAGATTGACCTCAACAAGAGAAAGGTTGTATAGTTTTGGATTTTAATCTTAGGAACACTGTACTAACTGTCAAGCATGCTGATGGAAGCATCTTACTGTTTAGTGCATCTGGTTCTGGTCAATTACATGATCTTGATGGAAAAAATAAGGATGTCCAGATATTTCAACATTAACTCAAATCATCTACTGGATGGTTGACTCTTGGCCAGAGCTCTGCGGAGGATATTCCAGAAGCTTGTTGGACGTTATCCATTCTAAAACCAGTTTGTGCACCAATGAGCTGCAGACAACAACAGTTACAGTAGCAGCCATTCAAAATAGCCCTTCCCAGCCAAATGGCAGCCAATTTCCCTCCCACTTCCAGCCACTGGAGTGACCCGCTCTTGCATATTTTTTTAACTCTAATTCCACCCTTTAACTGAATTACAGGGTCTGACCAGGAGATAATGCTTCTCTTTTTTGTAGAAAATTGTAGATTCACACTGAAGGCATCAAAACTATGAATTACAACATGTGGAATTATATACTTCACCAAAAAGTGTGAAACCACCGAAAATATGTTTTATATTCTAGGTTCTTCAAAGTAGCCACCTTTTGCTTTGATTACTAGTTTGCATTTATCAAAGCAGTTTTGATGCCTTCAGTGTAAATCTACAATTTCTATAGACATGGAAATAAAAAAAGCTCTTTGAGTGAGAAGGTGCGTCCAAACTTTCAGTCTGTACAGTAGTTGCCTAGAGTAACCTTTGGTTTTGGTTTGAATTGGTTGAAATGTGGGATTGTCAGATCAGAGATAGGAATGATAGAAAGGTGGCCTCTCTTGAGTAAAAAAAACCAGACTAATAAAAGACTTTCCAGTCCTGGGCAGGCACAGCACACCAATGCCTGCCCTTGGTGGCGGGACTGGTCTTGTTGCCTCTTCAGAGAAGACCCCACCTTTAGAGCTTAACACCCTCCTGCTGCTATGCGGAGCAGGCTCTTCACTGGTGGAGGCCAAAAGTCTTGGTGCTCCTCAGACATTTTAGGTATTCTTTACTGTAACTTCTTCTGGTTCTGAATCTGGTTGCACACATAGCAATGGAGGGATAGAGCGTGCAGGTCTCCTCCCTCACAGATCTATTGAAAGGTTGGTGTGTGGCAGAAGAACAGCACTTTATTCCCGTTTTCAACACCTCCCAGCTGTTTAGTATTCAGAATGTGATTTCAGGTCCACAGCAGCCGTCTGAGGTTTAATCGATTCATCCTGAGCTGAGCTCCACCTCGTCGAGTCATTGTTGACCTTAAACTGAGGAGGCACCCTGACTCACCTGGTTCACAGCCTCAACGTGTAAAACATGCTTTGTGTCGGTGGATGAAGTCTGTTCCGCTGTTCTAACTGACAGACGAGAGGGATCTTTACGCAAAGCGGATTTATTTCTGTAACAAGGGGGTTTTAGAGTGTTTGGATCTTTGATTTCCATTAAAGGGATTTTGGGCCAAAAATGATTTTTTCTTAAATGAGGCAGCTGAACGTTTGAGAAATGATCCTCCAGCCTAAGATCCTTTGAGACTTAAAAGAAAATGATAACATTCTCATAATGACTGAACATAGTTTCCTTGTTGTTGTTTTTTTTGTCTTTTCAGATGAAAATAAAGAAGCTTTAAAGCATTCATTTATTTACAATAAGCTCTCATTTTTTTTTAGTAAAGATCATTTTTTTAGTTATCTTTAGCCATTTAATCTATCCATAATATTTTTAATCTATAGATGTAAACATGATTAGAAATGGATCAAATGGTCTGTAAATACAGATGGATCTAGAGGTTCTAATCGGGTTCTGCATTGTCTTTCTGGTCTCCAGGCAAACTCTGGTCTCTTCTGTGACTTTGGTTTCTCACCTCTCGCCTCTGAGCCGTGACTCTGACTCATCCCTGCGTATTGTCTCACTGACTGCACCCCATAATACTGATTCATGTTAGTCACTCGGCGGTGCCCTGTCACTCGACTGCTGAATGCAGAGGAAGTCGGGATTGTTATTGTGTTCGCATGAGTCATGAAACCGGTTGAGTTTCTGCAAGTTTGGCTGCAGGGTTTGAAGCCTCCGCTGATATGAAGTTCTTCAATCTGCAGCAGCTGTTGCAAATGAAGAATATTGGGGGGTGAACAGAAGTTTAGGGTCTTCTGAGCTCAGATTTATGTTTTTGTGTTGCGTTTGCAGGGGTCTGTGGCTGCTGTGGGCCGCTGAGACCGAGATACAAGCGACTGGTGGACAACATCTTCCCAGAGGATCCCAAAGTAAGTTCAAACGTGCAGTGTATAAAAAAATAACTATACAAGTCTGTTTTTCTGATGAATCAGCCCTTATCAGCTCAAAGTAGCTCCTGCCCTTTCTGTCCTAATGCCAGTGGGTCAGTAAAATAGCTGGACTGGCCAACACTCGGCCAGGTTTTAAAATCACAATCAGAGTTAATGTTAATACTTTAGTGCAGCGTTCAATCAAGTCATTGCTGCTGAAGGGGAGGTGTTTGCTGTGAGGGTTTGTATTTTCACTATAAATCTGTTCCATCAATGACCTGACCTGAAAACAGTGATTGACATCAAATGAAGAAGTTTTAGAATCACTTTTTTAGTTAAAGTGTTTAAAAGTATCAAAATATTTTAGTTGTTTGTTTATTTTGCCAAAGCAATCCGGTCTTCTTTAGAAAGGTGTAACTCTGCTCTCTGCTTCTGATCAGGATGGCCTCAGTAAGTCCGACATGGAGAAGCTCACCTTCTATGCCGTCTCGGCACCAGAGAAGCTGGACAGAATCGGAGCGTACCTGGCTGAGAGGCTGAGCAGAGATGTGGTGCGACATCGCTACGGGTGAGGAACTGATTTACGCTGAGAGATTAAAAGGAAATGAACAGAAAGGCCCGTTTGGTCCACACCTTTTGGTCCTTCATAGAGGTGTCAGGCAGTTACCTCAGCGCCCTACGGTCCGTTAGAATCACAGCCTAGTTTTATGCATTCTCAATGCTTCCAACTAATTATGCAATGACATAAAATGAGCTTTAACGACTGAACTGTGTGCAGGAATGTTGTGATTGCCATGGAGGCTCTGGACCAGCTGCTGATGGCCTGTCACTCTCAGAGCATCAAACCCTTCGTGGAGAGTTTCCTACACATGGTGGCCAAACTGCTGGAGTCCAGAGAGCCGGACCTGCAGGTTCTGGGAACAAACTCGGTAAGATCCACATCATTTTTTAACAAATTAAGATAATCTATAAAAGAACAAAGCTCAGTACAGGGCCGAACTGCACATTTATTTATATGATACATCAAGGTCAGTCCATCACAATACTCTTTAGTGTAAAAGAAATGGGGGAGTTTGTGACACAGAGTCCAGCTTTGGGGTCTTCCTTTTGAAGAGAGGCGGTTTTATATCAAACAGCTTTCAATGTTTTCTTATTCTGCTTGGCCTGCAGTAACCTGCTACAGTTTGGTCCAGGAAAACTTTCTAAACATAAAAACAAAACTGAGATACTGGATGGAGCTTTGGTAAATTATAGAGATGAATTTTATTATTTTACAAGCTTGGAAAAGAATGGACCAATATTCAGCATGGTGGAAAAAAGCATTTTTTTCCGTCTTACATTATTGTTTTAAAGTTTAAAAGATTAAGGCCATTTATTTTCTATCAACTAAAGTGGTTTTAACATTGATGTATCTTTAATTTTCCTTCACATACCTCACTTTATTGTTTTAACCTTTTAGGGTTTTGTGTTCTGAGCTGATAAACAAACTAATCTAAAATTTAAAATTCCAAGCTGATGTTTTATCATTTACCTTTTTTACTATTTGTACTCTCTAATTGAAACTCAGTGAAGGATCTTGAACTGTTTGGCTTGCATAAAACACCAACCTCTCAGTCTGCTGTTTTCTGCAACCTGTTTTAAATTGTTTGCTTTATTAGAAATGATTGGGTTCAGATTTCTCTAACTCATCTAATTCCGTCCAGATGAATAGAAAATTTTGGCTTGGCTGATAAAACAAACTTGGGAGGAATGTTTCCTGATGTCATAAAATCTGTCAGGGAGACAGTAAAGCTCGAGTCTGGAAGAGCTTAAAGCTGAGATTCTTTGGCAGCTTCACTGAATGTTTTCCTGTGTACTTTCTGAAAGGAATTTAGGTAGTTTGGAAATGTCCTTCTGAGTCAACAAGGTTTGAAGGGCAGCACCAGCTGATTGTCTGAGCTCATTGCTGATGTGTTTCCATCTTGTCATAGATTTACACAACCGTTGGCTCCGGAGCAGTTTTTTACAGCCTTGCTCCTTAGGGACCAGATATCCTCCATGTGTTTGGTGTTTCTCTGCTGTCAAACATCTGATCTAAACCAATGGGAAATAAACCACTGATCTCTGTTCATTCACTGGATTGCTGATAGGCCGTCGGTAGTACAGGGTGGAGTAAAGTCACCAGCCAACACAGTGGTACTCCCTAGTTAGACCCATTGGAATGTAGAAAATATGCGCGCTACATTGATGATTTTGTCATTTTCAGGAGGGGCTTAAAGCTTTTTGAATAAAGATAAATGCACCACTTTGACACACACTTGCTGTCTCATAGCATCTGTAGATTACTTTAATTTATGGTAAATAAATATGCACATCAAATTGTATAGTCAATATGAAGTATGTGAAGTCTATATATCATGTGTTGGAGAGTAATGATCATGCAGTCAGATATTCAGAATGTTTTTTTTGTTCCTTCAGCAATCCAGTGAATAAAAACAGGTTTCTGCTATGCAGGGTATCTGTCTAAGGGGTAATATAATCATTTGAATCAGGTGTACTGGACTGTTTGACCCTTAGGACGGAGTTTAAGAACCGTTCTCCTAAACTTTGATGAAGCAGATCTAAAGGATTTTGTTTTATTCTTGGGACAGTCCAGTTCTTAGAGCTGATTTGAGTGTTTTGGAGAAATGATGTATGTAGAATATTAGCTCTCTAGGACTAGACTGAACTCCCCCACCCCTCCCTCCCGTTTTAGAACAACCCTTGGTCTGCTAAAGATGTTGATGCAGTCTTTATAATGAACAACTTTCACCCCTCCTTCCTGAGGGCTTCTACTTTCATATCTAACTGAATGTTTTTAAGCAGCTAATAAAATCTCCTGAATGTTTAAGGCCCTTTCCCTTCTTGTGTTGGTGAGAAACTGGCTGTTGTCGCTCCAGTTATTGGCTCTGGAGTAAAACCCAGAAAATATGAGCCCATAATCTACAAAGTTAACCCTTAATTTAGCACTTATTACCTTATTTTTACCAAATAGGCTCAATATGTCAGTTAGCATTAGCCCTGAGGCTGCTAGTGGAGGTTAAACATCTAATATGGCTCTCACTCTGGCACTGAAAATGGCCTGTAACACATACTCAGTAACCAGTAATAACATGATCAGCTTCTTAAAGCTCCCACCAGATCCTAGCACCGATTGCTCTCCTCCCAAGTCTGCTGAAGGGGAAATAAAAGCATTTCTATCTGTTCTTCCTCCTGTCCGAGCCTGTATCCTTGCTATTGTTAGCGCTGCATCTGAGCTGCGGGTTCAGATGCCTTTGCATTATTTATGTGTGGTATTTGGACTCTGACAGAGGAGAACAGATGGGGGGGACATAAAACCATGTCGGGTAAATCATCCTTTATAGTAGATCTGTTCGTTGTAGGTTTCCCTGGGTAAAGCAAAGAACTGCTGTTTCTTCAGCTGGATCATCATTCGTTTAATCAGTTAAAGATTCTTCAGAACAACATCTGCCTAATAGTTTCTACAGCGTCTGCTTACAGCGACCAAATACAGTGGAAGGTGACCAAGCACCATAGCAAAACAATGGAGGAAAAAAACAGAGAAGGGCTCTAAAATTGACCATACCAGAAAAAACGCACCTTCCTTTAATAAGGAATGCCGCTCATTCTGCAAGCTGAAAGTTATAAAAAGAAGACCTGTTGAGCCAGATGATGCTACAGATCTCACACAATTGTTTCTGTCTACTTTCACCTAGAAGTTTCTGTCATTTTTATAAAACTGTCTTGTTTTAGTTTTAGCTGAAGTATCCTTTTGCTCACTTTCCTACATTATCATAAAAGAAGATGTCTGCATTTTTTTTTTTATTGAGCTCAGCATTTAGCTGGACTCCATTTCTAATGTGATGCCTTTGTTTTATCTGTTTCAGTGAAGGGAATGTTTTCATAGTTTAGTAGAAATACTCTTATGTTTCAAGCTGCGTACCAAATCTGTTTGGTGTTTAAGCACAAAGATAAGAAGGTAACCTTGGAGAGGAGAGAGAGCCGTAGTGGGAGGAGGTGGTAAACTTCACAGGCAGCAGAACCATCATGTTCATCTATCTTTGCTTTACTCCTACCAGCTTACGTCCAGTCTTTTCACTTAGGTTTAAATTGTATTGTTGCTGACATTACTGCATCCCCCTTCAAAGGCAATGATTCGTTATTCCAGTGAGGCTCAAATGTAGGGTTTTTATGGGCTGGACCTTCCAGGCGTGCCACACATTCAGTTAATGGAGAATAAACTTCTGGTTTGATGCAAAAGCTGAGTTTTTCCAGTTTCCTCTTTATTGAATTCCATTTGTTTCCTCCTCCTATAGTGATTTCCCTCGTAAACACTGGGTTCACAGATGGCCAGAGAAGGGTCAGCTTCTGCTAGAACAGATCTTTGTTTCTTCCTGGTGTTTCAGCTTTCTTGTACACCAATTCAGAGACGGTAACATTAATGGTGTCAAAAATAATCATTTAAACAAAAATAGCATATTACCCATTCAAACCAGGTGAGAATAACTGCTTAAACATAATAAAGTCCTAAAAAGTGTAGGGTTTTTATTTGGATACTTGGTGTAGATCAGTGGCTGCTACTTGAATTAAGAAATTAAAAGCAATTTGTGTCAATTTTTGTTCAAACTTTCTCAGATTTTGCCATGTATTTGTCGAAAACTTTATTTCCTGAAACTTAGAAATGTGTTGGTTGCCTTCACAGAACCTGCAAGTTACTTATTGCAGGTTACTTTCCTAGAATGATTAGTTTACTCATGTAGACCCAGCAGGCTAGTCCCAAAATGTGGGAGAATAAGCACACTTCAAAGAACTAATAGGAAAACAAAAAATGTCCCCAGCATTATTATTATTGCCATAATTTTCTAAATAAATGCATTTTGCACATTTCTACTTTAGTAAAACACGTTTACTGGGTTTAAACTCTCATTTCAACTCCCTGCAATCTTCTAGCAATACTCTCCTCTACATGATATCACACTTTCTACATAATCACAGATTAACTCAGAGCGACTGATGTAATTGCTTTGCAGAACAATGATCTTCCCCTCCCCACCCTTTATAAGTAAATATAAATACTTTAGTCATGCAGTAATAACTGCATGAAAGTACATTTCTTTACTTAATAGAAGATTCAATGCATTCCACAGATTTAATGTTTTTTTTTTTCTACAGTTAATTTTTAATGAGTTTTTTTAAATTCCAACTTGAACCAGTATAATGAGAGATAACAGCCCTCTCCTTCCGTCAGTATAACTGCTGTTCTCATGACCCAGCAGCACTTGTGTAGAAAACCCGATCCTGTCCTGCATCATTATCAGATATAACTGCGCTCTCACTTTCATTCATGTCCTACATGCAGCAGTAGAGACGTGTTATCAATAATTAAAAGGTCTGGATGCGACACTGAGCTTTTGCTATTTTTCTGTTTGTACAAATGTGAGGAATATGAGCTGTAATTGCGATCTGAGGAGCTGGAAACATTATTTTTAAAACTTTGGCTCAGTATTTAATTTATCTGCCAGATAACAGCGCCTTTTAATAGCATATACGGATAAGCAGCATGTTATTACTACTATCATGTCTGTCATATTTTAACCTGTTTTCTTTATAGATATGTGAATATCCTGTTGCAGGACCATTCATTTTTATAACTTCATATCTGCTGATATGCCCTTAAGCTAGTTGTCCATGTCTCCCTTTAGTGCTCTGATCATTTTTTATGCAGAAACACCACATTCACACAGGCATGTGGATGTGAAGGGGAGGAGCAGGCCGATCCTTATTGCTTCTTTAGAACTGGGTCGGCCTTTTTTGCTACAGCACTGGACTGGTTTAAATCCTACCTGAAGGACAGGGATTTCTATGTGTCAGGAGGCAACTTTAAATCAGAGACCACAAAAATCACATGCGGGATTCCTCAAGGCTCCATTCTGGGGCCCCTCTTATTCAACATCTGCATGCTCCAATTAGCTTCAATTATAGAAGACTACAAGAAAAGTTATCGTAACTATGCAGACAACACACAGCTTTATATCACAATGTCACCAAGTGACTGAACCGATTAATATGTGGATGCGTCATAATTTTCTTTGAAATTAATAAAAATCAAACTGAGGTAATAACCTTCAGACCAAATGAGGATAGATCCATAGTTGTCTGATAGCTTTAGCTACTACAGCTAGAAAACACTGATTATGACTGAAATCTTGGTGTCATGATGGATTCAGACCTGAACCTTCAGAGGCACATAAAGGCAGTTACTAAGTCAGCCTTTTATCACCTCAAGAACACCCCCAGGATTCAAGGACTAATGTCCAAGCAGGATCTAGAAAAAATAATTTGTGCATTTATCTGTAGTAGAATCGATCACTGCAACAGTTTCTTCACAGGTTTGCCAAAAAAGTCCATCAGACAGCTGCAGCTGATCCAAAATGCTGCTGCCTGTGTTCTCACTAGAACTAAGAAAGTAGAGCATATTAGCCCAGTTCTGAATTCCTTACAAAGGGTGCCAGTAGCTCAGAGTCTGGTTACTTAGCAGAAACAAGGTATTTTATTTAAATCCTGGCCCGGGTCTTTCTGCATGGTATTTGCAGCTTCTGTTAATGTATGCTTAGATTTTCCCAAAACATGACGGCTTTCTACTACAGTCCAAACATGATTGATAATTCCGGTCTCCTGGAACTTATAGAATTGGCCAACAGGCCTGAATCAAATGATGGAATTATGTCCTCACGATCCAGAATCCTGCTAATGACCTTATTATTTGACTCGGGCGTGTTGAAGCAGAGATGCAAGACCCTGATATTCAAGGACTGGAGTTGAAGATTGCTTGTCCTATGTGATGGACAAGTGACCTGTCTCATGTCCCCCTCCCCTGACCCAATAACCAGGCCTAAGTTAAAGCCAACAGGTTTTTGAATCCAGGTTTTTATTGTCAGCCACACAGCAGATGCATTTTTCAGCAGGGTGTTTTAAGTCCTGATGGGAGGAAAAAGCATAAAACATTTTTGTATTATTTTGAAAAAGCCTTATTATAACAAATTCAAAATGTTCAAGTAGGGAGTAGCGGCTTTGATGGTGGGTGTCATGGATTTAAAAAACAGATTTACTGCAGAGATAATTTTGAATTTGATTGAAAATGTCAAGAGACTCAGTTTTAAAATCCACCATAATTGGCAATTAAGCTTTTCCTCAAATATTTCCATGTTTATCACAAATAGAATCTTCATTAATCTCAGAGAGCAACCTGAATACCCCAGCTGGATACTAGAAGCCTCAGATAATTACTTCCAGTTTTCTGCATCTCATCTGTTCATTGTTTCTTTCAATTATCATCATTTTGATTTATATATTTTTTTGCTCCAATCCCAGGACTAAAACTCAGAATCTCCTACTTTCTGTTGTAGGCAGCCGAACCTGAACATGGAATAAACCTGTTAATAGGAATATCATAGGCTAATAACACTCGGCCTTTCTGCCTTTGACTTTAACAATTTAATGCTTTAACAATTAGTGAGCATAATAAAGTTAAAAACGTCCCATTTCACTCGATGGGTTAATGGATCCTCATTTCAGAGCAAGCTTTTTCACTTTCACCCAAGGGAAGTAAAACAAATAGAGCCGTTTGTTCTAGCCACTCTCGCATTGCTTCATTGCTCTGCCACGAGGCATCTGTGAAGCTCCAAGTCTGACATTTTTTTGTTGTTATTTGCATTCTGCACCCTCCTTTATTATAATAATAATAATAATAAGCATTTAGCCTCTACAACCAAAAGAGCTCGTCATTTTCTCTTCAGTTTAAATAAGGATCATAACAATTTGAAGCTTTGATGATATGTGGAGACCCAAAGAATCATTAATGTTTACTCCAAGGAATAGTCCGAAGATTAGTGTAAGAGGAGCTGAAGGCCAACTTTCACAGACCTTCAGGCTACAAGAGTCGCTGGTGATCATCATTAAAAGGGTGAGAGAAAGGGGTGGCTTCTGGAAAGGAAAGAATCATTTTTTGTGGATTAAAAAAAGGCCTCTGGTTAACAGAGCAGTTAACAATAAAAAACAATAGCAAACGATTACAGCTAAAAACATAAAAGGTAAACAAATATTTTTTTTTATTGATTCATTGGCTATATTGATCTCACAGTGGAGAAATCTACTTGTTGCATCGGCATTGTACCGCTCCTTTTTACAAACGGGGTGTAAAAGTCTTTTTCTAAAGGTGCTGCTCAGCTTCTCCACAGTCTGGTGCAGAGGGTGGACGGTCTTGTCCATGATGGATGTAAGCTTGGACTTACATCCTTCCTCTCAGCCACTTCCTCCACTAAGTCCAGAATGCAGCCTAGAATAGAACAGGCCTTTCTTACCAGTTTGTTCAGTCTCATTTGCTCCCGCTCTGTGCTGCTAGGAACCCAGCAGACAACAGCTTAGAGGAGGGCTGGTGCCACCACAGAGTCATAGAAGGTTTTAAGCAAGGGCCCACTCACTCCAAAGGACCTCAGCCTCCTCAGGAGGTGGAAGCGGCTCTGGCCCTTCTTATACAGGGCGTCGGTGGTATGAGTCCAGTCTAGTTTGTTATTGACATGAACACTAGAGACTGACATTTTTTCGGGAATCCCATGGGTCACGGGATTCCCGTGGGATTCCCGTGGGATGGGAGTCAGTATTAGTAACGATCACGTGATTGGGATGGTACAGGATTAAACATTAAGGGGAGCAGACGGGAGTGGGAGCAAACCAATAATAACAAAAAAAAGAAAAACTAGGATCGATGCCAAAAAATAAAATTAAATAGAAAGTAAAAAAAATCCAGCACTGGCGCGCCGCCGCCATTTTGTAGTTTTTTTCCTTGAAGCCTACACTATAATGCGAGTGAAAAAAAACTACACGACCCAAAAACCAACAGTGCTTCCGCTCTGAGTTTTTCCACCCGCGCTAGAAAAAAAAAAAACAAGAATGGGAGTGGTGCAGGAGCAGGAGTCATTCTGAGTGGGAGAGGGATGGGAGTGGGAGTAACTTCACCAGGAGTGGGACGGGACAGGATTTAGATTTCTACTCTGGATCGGGACGGGACACAATTTTTTTTCTGTGGGAGTGGGACGGGACAGGAGTGAAAATCCACTCCCGTGTCAGTCTCTAATGAACACCCTGGTATTTGAAATTCTCCACAGTTTCCACAGACCTCCACAGGTGGGGGTCTTCTCCTGAAGTCGATCACCATCTCTTTGGTCTTACTGGAGTTAAGACACAGGTGGCTCTTCTCACACCAGTCTCCAAAGTCCATGATGACCTCCAGCTCATTCCCCAACAATGGCAGCTATCTGTGTTCTAGTCCAAGGTGTAAAGGGTGAAGAGGAATGGAGACAGAACGATGCCCTGGGAACACAATCAGTGAAATGGAAAACTTGCAAGCTGCTTTTTCCTCTGAAGAATTTTTTTTGTAATGATTCAAGCATTGTGCTCTCCAAACACACCGTTAACCTTAATTTAAGACCCATTACCTTAAGCTACATTGACCTTATCGGGAAGGAACTTCAACTGCAGCAATTCGCCGTCCAAAAGTCCAAATATCTTATTTACAAAAAAGTTTTTTTTTTTTTTTTATTATATATATTTCAAAGCTATAAGGATTTTTCAGAGGTTTACTCCTATTCATTTGAATGCTAGATGTCTGGATTTTCTGTCCCTTTTACAAAAACCAGAAAGTACTCGCAGTGCTGTTACAACGTATTTGATGTGGCGCCTGTAAATCCCTTCAACAAAACTGGCATTGGAAGGCATAGTGGATGTGGTTATTTTTTTGGAAAAAAAAATCTGTAATTAACAACTAAATGTGGTCATTTGGGAACATGCAGATAAGTGGAAAACAATATCTAAAGTACTTATAGAATGGAACAAAATTATTCTATTTCCAAAACTAAAAAGGAGTCTTGGGAAATATAAAAGATAAACAAAGGCCTTCAGCTTAGTGGTATAAGCAGCTTTCTTGCTTATGTTTAACTTAGAAATGCTTGGACTGCTTAATTATGAATTTGTGTAGGGATAAACAATGTCCAAGGCATTGGCATGGGCTTTTAATATTGATACACAGGCTGATTGTATACGTTTGAAACTGTAAAAGTCATCAGACGCCATTTTATTCACCGTCAACATTACTGTGTCCATTATCAGTCCTTAATGTTTGCTTTTTAGGCTAAATTCCTCATTTATGTCTACCAGTCTACGTTTACCAGTTAAAACATTCCTTAGTTTGCTGAGATTTATTGTCACAAGCTTGCATTCCTTCATAGGCAGAACAATCTGGCAGTTGCCACTGGGTCGATTCCAGGTAGTATTAACCTTGATCTCTTTTTACACCCAAACTACTCGTTACAATCATTTTCGAGATTCTTGCAAGTTTGTTCCAAACGGAAAACTAAAGTCACATTTGACACATCTTGTTCCAAAATCATCCTCCTTCATGTTCCATTTCATGGTGCGCCCACCTCCACGCCTTACAGCTGGAATTAAGACTCAACCAAGGTAGCGAGGCCAGATTTATACCAAAACAAACTTCAGAGACCTTCATATATATCTATGTTTACTACTATGTTTACACTTGCTTTATAAAAATTCAAGCTGATCATTAGAAATACTCTGTAGGCAGATCCTCTGCTGGTGTTTTTACCTCCACTCAGTTTATTTTTGGATTTATCCTTTTTCTAAAACTTCCTTCTTCTTGTCTCTTTGTTGTAGTTTGTGAAGTTTGCTAACATCGAGGAGGACACCCCTTCCTACCATCGTCGCTATGACTTCTTCGTCTCTCAGTTCAGCGCCATGTGCCACTCCACTCATGAAGACCCAGAGACCAGAACCAGGTATGTCTTCTCACAGCATCTACTCAACTGTAGTTGTTGTACCGTATTCTGCTGCACTCTCATGGTCAAGTTTACATGGACTGGATGATAAGAATGACAGATTTTAGAACTATTGTCTATGGTTGGATTGTTGCAGGAAAATCTGTGTTAAATATATTATTTCTGAAGCTTCATAAAATTATATCACAACATCACTGTGTCCATTAATTATTGCGAAAATATTCCAAGTGATGTGAAATGTTGTTTTTCAAATGTAATATTCAGTCAGCTGAATGTGGTCTGATGGTATCAGATGCTCACGCTGGACACTAATTTAATGGCCGTAAATGCTGTAGGTAAAAAAGTAGTGGGAGCACAGTGTGTTGTTTTATTTTATTTTTGTGTATTTATAGAGATTACTTTAATTGGATTTTAAAAAAAGGCCTGTCTTTGATTGACCGGTCGGGGTGATTTATTTAAATATAGTTAAACAAGTCGTGAGCTTAGAGATGGAGATAGAGATTGTCAAAGTCGCTCCAGATACGTTTTGAGCTAGGGAGAGTTTAAAAGCTGCTCACTGTTTGCTCAGACAGTAGCTGCACGCTCAAGTTGGTGGATAAAAAAAATACGTAACCTTATTATAGTATATTCACCATCTGTATATTTATCTTTCAACCACCAATCTGTGCTTTTGTTTTGAATTCTAGTGCCTTAACTCTCCGTAGATCATCTGTAGTGAATATATTTCAGGGTTTGGTCCTAATGAAGCTCATCTGAAACCATAAATGTTTCCTGCATCCTTTGAAAAGGTTTAAACAGAAGGTCAGAGGATGGCACATCTAGTTGGCTAGTCTGCTTTGATCAAACTGAATTTTTTTAATGTTTACACTATGTTAACCTTTGACTAGTTAAATACAAAGAAAACCAAACCATCCAATCACAGGATTAACCAAGGCTAAGCTTTTGATTTACTGGATCCAGGTTCAGTTAAAACATTAGGATGATGGATAACTGAGGGAAAAATTATGACTGGGGCTGCAGCAGACAGTCTGTGTGAGACCTGCATCTGTCACCTGCTTCAGGGCATCACAATGCAGGGCACATATCTGTGGTCATTTATTGGATTCACAGTGAGATGCAGCGCTGCTTATAGCACCAAAACAGCCATGACTCAGAGATCCACAGGTACACAGAGGGAGACCCTTTGGCATTATGAAGCTGAATTCATCACTTCTAGCTCAAGATAGTGTAAGAGTTCAAAAAAGACTCATTTATTTGTCTGAGTCAAAAATTGCTGTGGGAGGAATTGCTCAATCTACTCAATTTCCCCAAATCTGAAGAATAGAGCAGGTTGGGGTTCATTAAGCCAAATTGTTGTTGAATTTCACAGTTAGGCTCAATGGAATAGCTTTAAAATCTTCCGTCAGGATTCAGATCCTTCTTCAAAGAAAACCTGCTGCTCGGTTGAAAAGGTCTTCCTCTGGTTACAACCTAACCCTCCTTGTTTTGTCACATCAACATCCACGTCCAGAGAGACCAAGTAACCAACCCCGCATCCCACACATATCCATTATAAAGCAGATATAAATATATCTCCTGCTGATCCATATTTCATAACCTCTCCATTCCACTGAGACCACATGGCTCTGTAACACCTCCTCACGAGTGCTTCGCTTCACTTTCTAACAGAGAAATAAGAGCATAGTGTTGATGAAGGGAGTGAGAATAACTGGCTCACCTAAGACAAATCCTTCTGTCACATGGCTCTCCATCATCTCCAGTGTGGCAAAGAAAACCAAAAAAAAAAAAAAAACATGCAGACCTTCTCTTCCTTTGATCTTTTTGTGTTTCAAAATAAAGTCTGTTTCAAAAAATTGCTGCTTTTTTTTGTTTTGGGGACTTCATTCCTTATATCTGCATAATCAACAGTGTCTTGTGGCAAAGCTGCACCAAAAAAGGCTTAACCTGACAAGTTAATAACTTAACACCAGTGTCTGTTTGTGCAAGTTCATCTGAACTCTATTTACTTCTGCATATAGCCTGATTACTAAACGGTTTCCAAATAGACTGGGTCCTAATCTGAATCCAGCACTCTGGAATAATTAGTCATACGCAGCAATCTTCAGAGGCGAGGGAGGGTTATTTAGAGAAGCGAGCCCACAGGATTAGAGCCGGAGGAACCTTACAAGCCTGTTGGTAGGTGGAAAAACATTCAAAGAAACCAAACAAGCTTTTTAGAGAAACGTTAATCCTTAAATAAAAGAAGCAAGCACAGTCTGCATGTAGGGATAAAAACAAGGCCTTTATTTATACACATTCTAAACGTATGCAGGCGTGCTCATAGTTCTGTAATGACTGTTGCAGCGTTGAGAGCCTGATCACCTTTGGGAGCTAAATACTGAATTCTTATCGTTGAGCCCAAACACAAACCTTAGAAATACTTTTAATTCTGAGGCATTAATTAAAACATAATGAATTTTCAATTTGAGTAACATAATTTAGGTAGTAAGACTCATTAAAGGTCAGAAAACTTAAACTTTAAAAACAACTTTTTTTTTTTTTTATGACTTTTTGATATTTGATTTGCTGCTTTTTAAAAATGTTGACAACATGGAGTAGGGGCTGTTGCATATTATTGACCCGAACTTTATTTCAAGAAAAACAAAACAGAAAAGTAGAGGTTTGTGTAAAAGGATAAATAATTCTGAATTCCATGTTTTGGAAATAACTTCTGGTGTTCCACATGGTTTGCTATTTGGACCCGAGTTATTTTATGTTGTGCTGTTTGTGCTGTAAACTAAAGTTTTAAAGCATAGGATAAAATTAATTGCTTAGGGTTAGATTTAAATAATTTGTAAAAAAAANCTCACTCCAAAGGACCTCAGCCTCCTCAGGAGGTGGAAGCGGCTCTGGCCCTTCTTATACAGGGCGTCGGTGGTATGAGTCCAGTCTTGTTTGTTATTGACATGAACACTAGAGACTGACATTTTTTCGGGAATCCCATGGGTCACGGGATTCCCGTGGGATTCCCGTGGGATGGGAGTCAGTATTAGTAACGATCACGTGATTGGGATGGTACAGGATTAAACATTAAGGGGAGCAGACGGGAGTGGGAGCAAACCAATAATAACAAAAAAAAGAAAAACTAGGATCGATGCCAAAAAATAAAATTAAATAGAAAGTAAAAAAAATCCAGCACTGGCGCGCCGCCGCCATTTTGTAGTTTTTTTCCTTGAAGCCTACACTATAATGCGAGTGAAAAAAAACTACACGACCCAAAAACCAACAGTGCTTCCGCTCTGAGTTTTTCCACCCGCGCTAGAAAAAAAAAAAACAAGAATGGGAGTGGTGCAGGAGCAGGAGTCATTCTGAGTGGGAGAGGGATGGGAGTGGGAGTAACTTCACCAGGAGTGGGACGGGACAGGATTTAGATTTCTACTCTGGATCGGGACGGGACACAATTTTTTTTCTGTGGGAGTGGGACGGGACAGGAGTGAAAATCCACTCCCGTGTCAGTCTCTAATGAACACCCTGGTATTTGAAATTCTCCACAGTTTCCACAGACCTCCACAGGTGGGGGTCTTCTCCTGAAGTCGATCACCATCTCTTTGGTCTTACTGGAGTTAAGACACAGGTGGCTCTTCTCACACCAGTCTCCAAAGTCCATGATGACCTCCAGCTCATTCCCCAACAATGGCAGCTATCTGTGTTCTAGTCCAAGGTGTAAAGGGTGAAGAGGAATGGAGACAGAACGATGCCCTGGGAACACAATCAGTGAAATGGAAAACTTGCAAGCTGCTTTTTCCTCTGAAGAATTTTTTTTGTAATGATTCAAGCATTGTGCTCTCCAAACACACCGTTAACCTTAATTTAAGACCCATTACCTTAAGCTACATTGACCTTATCGGGAAGGAACTTCAACTGCAGCAATTCGCCGTCCAAAAGTCCAAATATCTTATTTACAAAAAAGTTTTTTTTTTTTTTTTATTATATATATTTCAAAGCTATAAGGATTTTTCAGAGGTTTACTCCTATTCATTTGAATGCTAGATGTCTGGATTTTCTGTCCCTTTTACAAAAACCAGAAAGTACTCGCAGTGCTGTTACAACGTATTTGATGTGGCGCCTGTAAATCCCTTCAACAAAACTGGCATTGGAAGGCATAGTGGATGTGGTTATTTTTTTGGAAAAAAAAATCTGTAATTAACAACTAAATGTGGTCATTTGGGAACATGCAGATAAGTGGAAAACAATATCTAAAGTACTTATAGAATGGAACAAAATTATTCTATTTCCAAAACTAAAAAGGAGTCTTGGGAAATATAAAAGATAAACAAAGGCCTTCAGCTTAGTGGTATAAGCAGCTTTCTTGCTTATGTTTAACTTAGAAATGCTTGGACTGCTTAATTATGAATTTGTGTAGGGATAAACAATGTCCAAGGCATTGGCATGGGCTTTTAATATTGATACACAGGCTGATTGTATACGTTTGAAACTGTAAAAGTCATCAGACGCCATTTTATTCACGGTCAACATTAGTGTCCATTATCAGTCCTTAATGTTTGCTTTTTAGGCTAAATTCCTCATTTATGTCTCACATTTACCAGTTAAAACATTCCTTAGTTTGCTGAGATTTATTGTCACAAGCTTGCATTCCTTCATAGGCAGAACAATCTGGCAGTTGCCATTGGGTCGATTCCAGCTAGTATTAACCTTGATCTCTTTTTACACCCAAACTACTCGTTACAATCATTTTCGAGATTCTTGCAAGTTTGTTCCAAATGGAAAACTAAAGTCACATTTGACACATCTTGTTCCAAAATCATCCTCCCTCATGTTCCATTTCATGGTGCGCCCACCTCCACGCCTTACAGCTGGAATTAAGACTCAACCAAGGTAGCGAGGCCAGATTTATACCAAAACAAACTTCAGAGACCTTCATATATATCTATGTTTACTACTATGTTTACACTTGCTTTATAAAAATTCAAGCTGATCATTAGAAATACTCTGTAGGCAGA